TGCCGTTGAAATATTGACGGTGATACATTCACATACTCGAATTCGAGCGAATATCGCCTATGAATTCGCACGCTTCTCGAAATACGAAACCGAGTTTCTTCTGACAGCCAGAAAACAGTCGCGAAATTACTCGCAATGGATGGACAACGTCCTCTACAAAGCAACAACGCGTTCAAGGGGATGCAATTTTAAGCGGCTAGCCGTACCGTTCTTCAACCGATCTGAATAATTCGAATTTCCTCGGAACTTTCGCTCCGCCGAAAGGTAATTGGCTTGGTGGACAGTTTCGCGTGTAAAATTGCCACGTAAAGGGGAAAGGAAATGGAATGAAAAGATGTCGGTCCAGAGATCTGTTTAAAATTTCGTGTGTCGACCATCGCTTGCGAAACACACCGCGGTAGAATCGATCGAACACGCTGAATAAGCTAGGGAAGTGAAAAAAAAGAAAGAAAGAGAAAGGGTGAAACGTTTAAGCAGGGTTGGTAAGGGTCGTCGGAGAAAGAAAAATGAGGTAGGACAATTGTCGGATAGGGATTGGATGTTACAGCTGTTTGAATGAGAACACAGCTTTCACGCTGAACAAATATATATATATGTGTGTGCAGCTTTTCAAAACTTTGCGCCATCGAGGACGTCCACATTAATTTAACAAGGTTTGGTTAAAGCCGCGGCTTTTCAAGTCTTTTGAATAAGATCCTCGAGGAGTCTGCGAAAATATATGGTTATTCGGTGAAATCCTTTCGTATTTCATGAATATCTTTTACATTACGAAAATTATTAAATGAACTAACTATTAAATAAACTTTTAAATTACGAAAATCATTAAATAAACTAATTATTAAATAAACTTTTACATTACGAAAATTATTAAATAAACTTTTAAATTACGAAAATTATCAAATAAACTTTTAAATTACGAAAATTATTAAATGAACTAACTATTAAATAAACTTTTAAATTACGAAAATTATTAAATGAACTAACTATTAAATAAACTTTTAAATTACGAAAATTATTAAATGAACTAACTATTAAATAAACTTTTAAATTACGAAAATTATTAAATGAACTAACTATTAAATAAACTTTTAAATTACGAAAATTATTAAATGAACTAACTATTAAATAAACTTTTAAATTACGAAAATTATTAAATGAACTAACTATTAAATAAACTTTTAAATTACGAAAATTATTAAATTAACTTTTAAATTACGAAAATTATTAAATAAACTTTTAAATTACGAAAATTATTAAATAAACTAATTATTAACCAAACTTAAATTAATTGCAGATTTTCATAAAATAGTTCCAAAACAAATCCTTCTATAAGTATCCTTGAAAAGGTATCAAAGACTTCTTTAAACCAGGGCGATCAGATCACAACGATAAAAAGTATAACAATTAAGATGATGAAGAAAACGCTTAACGCCGGTTCGCGGTGAAGTGGCGGACAATGAAATTCTCACGCGAGGGAATCGTCCTGCTGCGCGAAATTCGAAAATTCCGAGCGTTAAACGACGATATTAAATGGAAACGAGGCGGAAAGGTCAACGGTGGGAAAAAACCGCGGCGGGCTTTAATATCGCGGGGAAAATCTGAGAAGACCAAGGGATTTCGCTTGGAAACTCGAGAACCTCACCCAGAAGGATTCTCGAGGGCATGTTTGCTGAATCTGCCGTGATCGAGCAATTTACGTGCTTTCGTATGTGCACGCAGCTGACCCAATTTTCAAAAAGTTCCTTGTCTCTGCGGTTGTGAATCGAAAAGTCGCCAACAGCCACCGACCGATGTAACTTCAGCATTCATTGTGCGGTGTTAGAAGCGTGTTTGACCAGTCGTATTGAAAATTACGAGATTCTAATGATCCATTTACTCCTTCTGAATTGTTTGTTCAGGCTGCAATTTGCAATTGTCATTGAACATCGCGCATTTGTTAAGCAGGAAGGTGACAGAAAATTCGCGAAATACGAGAAATAAAATATACGTCGCTATGTTTAGGAAATAATGCGTTCTTTTATTTATTTTACGTTTGAATTCTTTACTAAACTTGGCAAGTCGAAGTACATGGAAAAAGGTAATGTTTGCTAAACAATTAATTTAGCTACGTTCCTTTTACGCTGTTTTACGTGAAATCAAAGCACAAAAGTTCCGCGGTTACTCAGAAAGAAAAAAAAAACACAAAGAGACTCGTTTTACGCTTTTTACATTTACTGCCATTGTCCACGGTTGTATAGTGGTCATTGTAATCATTAGACTGCCGACTGTTTATGCATTTATGGAGATGACAAAAGTGTAAAACGCAAATATGCAAAAATGTGTAAAATATCCAAAATGATACTCGTCGTAATATAGAGAGATGAATCTCCATTTAGATTTTATTTCTTTGTCAACAAAAGTCATATTTTTAATCGAACAAAGTCAGCAATCACTCAGTGTTGCAGTTTCCTTTTTATTTCTGATTTCCTGTATGTACTCTATAATAAATAAACGAAGATCGCCTGTAAAACAAAGAAATGTAAAATCGAGCGAAATTTCTTCATTTGAAATGGCTAATCGAAAGTCGAAATGGCTCCGAATGACGTAGCGAATGTTGAATTTGCATCTTGGTAGAAAAGTTCCGCCGAGACGACAGGAGATCAAGCTTGATACATGATTCATCATCACCGGCAAACTTTAAACTTCCTATTCACTTTATCTTCCACTTTTTACTTTTGGTCCGCTTCGCCTTTCTTTTTGTTAACCGACCGCCGCGACAGTTTATCGATTTCATCCGCCACAGTATCCAGGACCGTTGCTTCCGCGCAACATTTCATCCGCAGTTTGCTCTTAATTTATATCGTCCCAAAGTTCCAAAAGTCCCAAGTTTAAAAGTTTTTTCTGTTAAATTTCGCGTGCGTTTAAAATAACACGTTGATGGGTCGAAAGTTTCTTTCTACCTATTTTTTTTTTTTTCGAGTTTTCCTGAATTTTATTAATTTTACAAATTAAATTTAAGTTCAAGCACGATTTTCTTTCGTTGCGTTTAGTAAAAGTTATTTCTTTCAAATAAATGACAAATATATAATAAAGGAAATTACGGATTTATTTTAGTGATTAACTCAATCCTCTTTCAGACATCTTGGTTCTACCCAGCCAACTACTGTACGCATTTCTTTTATCGTTTAACGACTGTAAAAATGGTTTAACGACTACTTTGATATCGACAGGGTTAAACAGATATACGCAGTGCAGCATTATCGTTATCTAGAACGACCAGGAATAACGGCGTCGTTTCCAGTCGACGAGCAAACTTCCACATCGCTCAGCTTTCCTCCGCTTGCATATTTGAGAAAACGAAACGAAACGAAACGCGAAAAGGCACGTAAATCCTCTCGAGGGAAGTTTCCCCCTTTCAGTTGGAAATCTCTTATTTCCGAATGTATCCCCATCGACTTTATGACAAACGCCGCCCCGCGAGAATACTTATCGTGTTGCATTCGGTTGGATCTTTTCGGGGAACCGCGTTTTCTGGCAATCGTGCACACGCCCAGTCGTGGCACGACCCTGGCCAAACTCCAGTTTCGACGCGACCTCCGCGTTGACCCTATAATTTGAACACTCGCCAATCCAACCGAGTGTGTTCAAATACACGTGTCGCTCGTGACGAGCAAATCCGCGCAAAGTAAAAGCTCCCTCCGTTCGCTGAACAAATCCTGTTCGACGTCCAGACATTGGTAAATATTTCAATTTCGTTTTGGATTTTATTTCGACGGGGTTATTTGCACGTCTGTTTCGCGACGTTTCTCCACACCTCGCGCAACGTTTTCGTCCTCGTTGCGTCGATACTAATCGAATGATAAACCTGTTACTTGCTTACGGAAACACCAGACACTTTTCAACATTTTTCTTGCAAAGCAATCTCTGCGCTTACTGCCAATATTTCCTCAAGGCTGGAAAGATTAAAAATACGCAATACGGAATACACAAAATACATGAAATAATTGCATTTATGAAAATTTGCATTTTACATAACAATTTGCAGTCTGCATTGTTTAATTTAATTTAATTTTAATTTTAATTTTAATTTTAATTTTAATTTTAATTTCAATTTTAATGTTAATTTAATTTTAATTTAATTTTAATTTTAATTAAATCTGCAAACCTATAACTGGGATAAAGAACAAAATCGTCTTTTGAGCTTCAATTTTCTGACTAAATCACATCCCGCCTATCAAGAGGGCCAAACAAGTCAAGTGCTTCTAAACAGTAGTGCACATCAATGGAATATCCTGCACGTAATCGAGGATCAAAATTGATAGGATCAAGGTTATCAAACAAGCTGAACACGAGTAAGAAGCTCTGAAATTGGTATTCGGCAATTGATGCAGGATGTAATTACGACGTGCAACGAGCAATCATAACGTTGACCAATCATCGGCGAACGATTCGCTAGATCACGATTTGCCCGATCTATTTGCGCCGCGTGAGGCAACTGTTTCTTTGATGTTTGATGTTCCAGTGTAAACATGCGCTAATGTAATGTAAATGTCAAGTTTCTAGCAGTAGTAAAAAGAGGAACTGTAATCTGATATTTGCACACCGTGTTTGTGATAGATCTCTGCGCTCATCTCCTTGAGGACTATAAAAGTGGAGGGAATAATAGGAAAGAACCTGAGAAAAAAGGGAAATGGAAAGCTCGAGGGCTCCTCGTGCCTTGTTGAATATCGAAAACGTCGATCGAGCGGAACATTTTTATGGAAAATAGAGAGTAAAGATTCTTTTCATATTTCGAAAAAAATCAACGTCTCGTGTTTTATCTTTTCAATCAAATTCTTCTTCTCCTTCTTCTTTGTTTTATAAAAATGTCTTACGAGATGTCTTTACCTTTGTTGGTAAAAATAATTGCCGTTCCGACAATAAAATTCGAATGTTCGAGTGAACGAACGAGGATTCACACAGAAAGTGACTCTGTTACGATTGTATTTGCCTCGCACTAACCACGATCTTCCGTGTTTCAGGAAACATGGTGCAAAAGGTGGTGGCACATTTCGCAGAGGAACGTTTCCTCGACAAAGTCTTACTTCCCACCGAGTTTAAGTCCGATCCTAGCGAAAGGAATGGAAGACTCGTCGAAGGAAAAGAAAGCAACAAAATCAACGAAACCAACGAAGAATGGCAAAGAGGATAAAAGTTTGACTTCCGAGGATACGGAGGCCGCTGGTGAGTGTTCAAACGCAATGAAATCTTGTGGAAAAGAGAGATGAAACATTTGGGAAAGTGGTACTTTTGTCTCGAGACTCGGGACTTTCGCATGTTCCGAATCTATATAATCCTATTATAATACGTATATTTGTTCACAACGTATGTGTGCAATATACATATATGCTCTTAATATAAAAAAGTATTGATTTTCCTCTTGTAAGAGAAACACTGTGCAATCTGTTCGAACGCTTCGTAGAAAAAAGAAAATAAAATTTGAGAAGAAACTATTTTCATCTTGAAGCTTCTTTTACGATCCACGTGAAAGAAACGAAAAAATAGAAAAGAATTTAAGGGGGAAAGAGATATTTTTATCTCCAGAGAGAATTTTGTTAGTCGCTGGTATAAGAAATTCGTCTGCAAGCGTACGTTAAATTATATCCGTGTCTCTTTACATATTTAATTCGTGAAAATTCAGAAATTCAATTTATTGATTTAAAATATTATAGAGACCTAAAATTCCTAGAAACTTTCACCATTCTTCACGTTCGTGCAAGTAAGTTGTTATATTATAGATTCGCTTATCAGTCTTCCATTACACTAATCTACAGTCAAAACATCTCCAATTATTAAAGATTATGATCAGAATTCAGTGAATTTTTAAGTGACGTAAAGTCATAAAGTCTCTGTCTTTAAAAGTAATATAAAGTCTGTCTTTAAAAGTCTATAAAAATAAAATGTTTCTAAAGATACTTTTAATAACATAAATACGATATATTTATTCACTGACTGGCTTCTTTCTTTAAATGAAAATTAAATAACAGCCTATCATGCTACTGATATATGATCGTTGACCAATTTACAGCAGGTGTTTCATTTAATATTCAACTTCGTGGAAGTAACAATGAACACGCTGAAAGGATTGGGTATTATTGGGAGGTATTTTTAATTGGATATTTATTTAGCCTGGAACGACATAAACAACAGTTTAACTAAATATAGTGAAGTTCCATAGCTTCCTTAACTTTCTTATATACATTTTCCTCAACTTTGGCTTTAATCCTTTGATCAAACCAAATACGATCGTTACAATTCTCTATAATTAATATACACTCGTCCCATGAAAGTAATTTGAACACTCGAACAAACTACCATGAATATATCGCGCGTGCTACTATATAATTTTCTATGGCAAGTATTCAAATACTTTCCTGGGCCGCTTAAATCCATGATTCAATCAAATATCCAAGTTGATCGTTGCTAGGAAACCTCGAGTAACGACTGTACAATTTCCCCTCTTATACAATTATTGAAACGACGAACGAGCTCGGTTATGCGAACGAATCGATCGAGACGTCGTTTTCAGACGCAAAGAGAACGCAATTGGAACCGTTCCGAAAGAACGGCATCGCGTTCGAAGACATACGTAAAAACTTACGCGAGCAGGATATCACTATACCGTGACTGCCGCAAACACTGTTGGCTCTCGACTTTGGCAACATTCCCTCTGGCTCTACCGAGATGCAACGAACGTTATTGCACGAAACGCCGTTCCTCTCAAGAAGTTTCCAAACGTTGGCTCTCGGTCCCGTTCAGGCTATCCTCGAGCACCTCGAACTCTTCGAACTCCATTTTCCCAAAATCGTCGGTGGTTCTCCAATTGTTCTCGTTGACCTGCCACCTGGTCAGAGCACTGCCGATAAACCTGCTCGCGTAATCGGACTTGGCGTCCTCCAAATCGCCCAGCTTAAACTCCGCCTTGAAACTCTTCGTCTCTTTATTCTCCTCCTTCTTCGGCTCCAAACCGATCACGACGGGAGGCTCTCGTTTCACCTCCGGCTCTTTCGTCCCGTTACTCTCGCCTTCCGATCTCGTCTTGTCGTCCTTGCCATCGTTCTCTTGCTTGTCCAGCACGGTGATCTCGATGCTAGGCGTCTCCGCTATCGTGTATTGGCTCAGCTCGAGCGCTCTTTCCTTGTTCCGATGCCTCAAATGATTCTCCACCAGTCTTCCAGTCAGTTCCAATCTGCTGTCGCACGAGTTGCTCTTTATCAGCCGGAATTTCACGTAATCGTTCGATCCGTTGACGCATTTGAATCGGTTCTCTACCACCGGCGATATCAACGGCCCGTTGCTCGAGTTCACCACTTTGCCGCCGTAGTACGTGACCGAGGTGCCGTACTCGCGGATCTTCTTAAGGACGTCCGGTGACACGTAGTGGTTCGATCCGTTCCGGCTCACGTCGGCCTCGTGGCTCGAGTCGATCTCCTCGTCCTCCGAGGAGATACACTGCACCCCGCTGCCGGGATCAGTGTCGGGATAATCGCTTGACACGCCGGAGCTCACGCTACCGGCGTCCCAATTGCTGTGGTGGTGATGGTGGTGATGGTGGTAACGGTTCATCTTGTTCTTGGAGGAAGTCGAGTCGCTCGGCGACGTGTGGCCGCTTCTAGCCTCGAAACTCTGCGCCAGGATCCTGGTTTTCGACTCGCAGCGGGGGCTGTCCAACTCGTCCTTGCCTTCGATCACCGACGCTCTCGACGACGTGGATTTCTCTTTGCTCTCGAACAGTTTCGTGAGATCCTTCGCCCGGCTGGAACATCTGGACGGTACAAATTTTAGTCGCAGCGCCTTCTGGAGATCTCGAATTTTTTTGGGAGGAACTTGGAACTAGTACAACTAATAAAAGTGAATCGTGTTTTACCTGGTGCCCTCTGCCTTCTCCGACATCTCGTCGAAATGGTCGCGATCGATGGTACTAAGATCCTTCATACTGACGCTCTTCCTGCTCTTGAAATCCTTCGAGAGCGTAGAACCGTTCGGGACGTTCTTCATCTTCAACGTATTCTCAAACATACGCCTGACGTTTTTCACGGTGTCCGGGTCGGGTAGTTCCTCGTCGATGAGCTCGCGGTTCACCCTGATGGGATGATAGAAGAAATGCTTCTTAATGGACGACTGTTTCGGACTTTTGCCACTGTCGTTCGTGTCCTCGTAGCTCCTCTGATCTCCGTTCTCCGTCTCCGTTTTCTTCTGTATAGCTCCCGCTATCTTGCAGCTCGGCTCGGATCTCGTTTTTCCAGTAGAGGACGGCTTCCGCTCTATCGTCTCCGCGCGCACTGGCTCTATAATGACAACGTTGTTGTCCAACAGCAGCTCCTGGAATGAATACTCTCGCAGATACTGCATCAGACCCTCGTAAGTGATGTCGTTGCGAGCGCTCGCGTACATGTTCTTGCCGAACATGTTCGACTTGATGATCTTGTAACGCACGTGATCGAATTCCTGGTCGTCGTCCGGATGACACTCGATCGAGTCGACGCAGCTCCTCGATCTTGTCAGGCTGCCGCGCGTTTTCTGGCTCTCGTTCTCCTTCAGGGACGACAGTCCCTTGGACGCGTGGTCCTCGTCGATGCCATCGTCCACGGATCTTCGTCTCGTGTCGCTTCCCGATTCCGATCCTAAGCCCAGGTCGGAGCTCTCAGACCGAGCCTCGAAACCCAGGCTACCTTTCACCACGCTGCACGCCTTCCCGATTATATTCGACGTCTCCTTCACGATCCTCTCGAACCTACCCTCCGTTTGCTTTCCTCTCGAGGCGTCCTTCTGCGAATTTTTCTGCTCCGTGGAACTGTTTCTCGCGTTCTCCACGCTCGTGTTTGCCTCGCGCCCCATCTCCTCCACGTTCGCGATCTGCAACGACAGAAATCGCATTCCATTCGTTGCACGTTGGAATTTCTTTTGGGTGTTTCATGGTTGAATGGATTTGTATATGTGAAGTTTGAGATTGTGCAAGGACCTTGTGTACTGCTGATAAAAGAATTTAGGTACACGCATTTAGGTATATGCATAGACCTTCTACTATCAATAGCGATCCCTCTGCCTAGATTATTTTAACACGTTTGTAAGAAATGAACATGTCTGTCGTTGTAATATAGCTAATAATGTAATATAACTAAAAAAATGCAGAGAAATTAACATACAACTGAATATTAAATTAACACTAGAACTACCGAGATAGTCAAAATGATTAACCACTAACTTTCGTTGGATATATTATACGTGCAAAACGCTGTATTTTTACAGATTTAAATGCTTTTTTATAAAACACGAGCTTGTATATTCCATTGTGTTGTACAGTTTTTACCATTTCTTTCATTTTAATATTTCTGATGAAAATTTTATGCTTCAGTCTTTGGTAGTTCTAGCATCAAATAAAAATGTACCCAAACTTACTAAACACGAAGCATATATTGTACTTTTGCATGTATTACACGTGTATTACATATAATACATAATACTTTCTGGGGGAAGAAGGACAAGGAGAAGGATGGTTGAAAAGGCTGGATAGAAAAAGAAGTAGGGGGCAGCAAGAAGGAGCTGTAGGAACGGAGGAATGAGATATAGAGGGATGATTGGGAGGAGAGAGAGGAGGATGGGAAGCAGAGGATGTGAGGGCGGAGGAAAACAAAGTAGGGTAGGAAGAAAATGGCGAGGGGCGAATAAAAGAAAAGGGCAAGGAAAAGGACAAAGTGATAATAATACAAAGAATGAGGCCAAAGATAGGGTGGAGGAAGGAAAGGAGTATAATTAGATATAAGAGCGGGCCTAATGGAATATATAGTAGGATGTTAGCTATGGTAATGCTTACGGTGTAATTAAGTAGTGGTTGTTATATTATTATTATAGTATATTATTATTATATTATATTATATTATTATTATATTCGATATTAGGGAATGAATTGTGAGTGGAGATTATATGATGCTAGGCTAATGAATGATTATTGTATTTATTTTTAAGAAGACTGTATATGGTGGTGGAGAAGGAGCGGAAATTGTAATCCTAAGGGAAAACAATAAAGACCTATCTATCTATCTATCTACATAATACTTGAAAGTATCTTTCAACTGAACATTGCAAACACTCACCTCTGCATTCTTCGAGGTTCCATCAACTTCATCAATCTTCTTACTCGACTTGACCGCGTCGACACAGTTGCCTAATTTCTGTCCGTCACTCTGCTGCTTCTCGTTTCTCGGCTCGTTTCTCGTGACGGAGCCGAGCTCGACAGTGAGACTTCGGTGCCGTCTCTTTGTCACGTCGCTGTCGACGATCTTGAGCACCTGCGGCCTCCGCGACATCTCCTCCTGCTCCTCTGTGTCCGAGATCCAAATGGATTTATAATCCTCCGCCTCCTCGACCTTACGATCGACAACCTGTTCCCTATCCGAGGCCACTAACTCGTCATCGAGTCCGTACCTGTCCTCGTTAACGTTCAAGCACGCGGATTTCGAGTCTGTCGGTTCGTTTCCAACACAAATTACCGAGTCTCTGTCGTCTTTCTGACACGACGAATTCTCCGTCGCGTTCTCCGGTGATAAATTGTCTCTGGATTGACTCGAAGAGTCGGATTCCCTCTGACAGTCGGGTTGCTCGGTATCCGGCGGGCTGTTCTCCTCCTTGGCGTTCGTTTTCTTACATTTCTCCTCGTCCGTGGCGTTGCTCCTCGCGGACGATCTCTCCTGCGCGTTCCACGAGGAGTCGAGACACTCGAGAGATTTCAAGGCCGAATCGTTCCTCCGTCGGAGATTGTTGTTACGCGCGTCCTCCTCGTCGAACTCCAAACGCACGTTCGACAAAGGCAGCAGATTCAGAACGTCGAAGTACTCTAGCTCGCCATCGTCCTCGAACAGTATACTGTCCAGGCTCCTGTGCTCCTTCCGTTTGCGTTTCACCTGAAAAATTACGCGAAATTACGAGAATGATTCTTCGACGCGACTTCCAGAGAATGGCGGGATTTTTTTTTTTAGTTTGTATTTATTTTATATAATTACACCGACTTATTTTATATATAATTACACAATTTATATATTTACACATATAAATCACTTATTTTGTATAATTATACCGAGTACAATTAATCGAATTGTATCAATATCTGGGATTTTGAACATAATGGAAATAGAAGCAAGCTAAATACAAAGTGATTTTGAATGGTTTATACACAAATAGCTAACAAACGGAAATAATACCGGATAAATGTACTACATGAAATACGTAATAACTGTATGTTCAGAGAGAAGCAGGCTGAAAGTAGGTTGAACTCCGCGAAAATTTGGGATTTAAACTTGGAACAGAATCAAGCGAAGCATCGTCTCGTACTACGTGTATGTCGATTTGCATGTTGGTCATGAATTTTTAATGTTGGCTGAGCACGTGAACAGTTATTTAATTAAAATTTGCGACACGATCCATTGAGCTTTCGTGAGTCCTACGTTGTTTCTCAGTTGGATTATTGAGAAACGCAAGCAAGCAAGCGTACTTCTCCGAGCATTAATTAACGCAACGAGGGTCCAAATCGCCTGTTGGCTCCCTGAAAATCCCTGAAAATCTCTGATTAGCCAGACCAGTTGTAATATTGCAAATTACAATCCAGTGAACTTTGAACGATGAACGACAAACAGATTCTGCCTCGCAGTAACACGACATTACCATATATAAGCATCTGCTGCTCACTTAATATTGGTCTTTCCACTCTGTTTATCCACTGAAAACGCGATATATCAAACGAAACATCTCGGACGTTTCATGTGTCACGTCTGTCGATCTTCTCGAACATTTCGACATTATATGAAAATTCTTACGATCAAGAGACATGTACCGACTACTTTTCTCTGAAACGTCGTATCGCTATTCCATCCTAGTTTCCAGATAAGCACACAACGATCTACGTTCTCGAGCACTATTCGAGATAAGGGCCGAATTTATCGACACAGTCTACGAGTCCCACAGATGCCATCGAATGCAACCGAGACGAGAAATTTAGGATGCATAATAATCGAATAGCAAACGGGTCAAACGGTGTTGATATGAAACTAAATGAAGCTTGTGCTAAGAATTTCAATTTCTTTCTTTTAACACGCTACCAAAGTGGTCAAAATGGACCATTCGAGTAATTTTGTTAGATTTTTTTTTTTTTTGTTTCGTTATGTAAAAAGTCGCAACTTTGCGGGTTATTAGCGACTCAGATAATCATAGTCTCTTGTATACTCTTGTTAATTTTAAGTATTGTAGAAGGTTCTTGATTGTGTTGTCCATTAGTTATCATTCAGGGTAGATTTTATGTTGCACTCTAGGCGTTTTTAGAGTGTATTTTCTCCAAAATAATGTGGTTAGCGGCACTTTGCATAGTTCGTAGGTTAGAGGTTCTTTCTTGTGGAAGAAATGTTGGTGGGTAAGTTTTGTGTGTCCTATTATGATTCTTGAGGTTATGACTTGGTCAAGTCTTGGTACAGACTCTTCTTGAAGAAATCGTTCTTAACTATTTTCTGACGTGGTTCTAATGTGGATTGCCAGTTTTTAGATATTTTGTAGATGCAAAGACAGTGTATTTTCGAGTGATTCTTCGTAAAATATCCTATTGTATTTCTTTTACTTTAACGTCTCTAATAGAAATTTTATGCTTTGGCTGTCGATAGTTTTTAGTGTTAAGAGTATTCTTTGCAAAAATAGTCTTGGAACGTTGCCGTTGGCGAATACAATGTCATCTGTGACCATCGAAATTGCCTTTTTATATCTGGTTTGTTCGTTCGGTTTTTAAATAAAAATTAAAAAGCAAATCTCTCATTTTCACCAACAATTTTATTGAACAATGTATTCATTTTACTCTTTAGCCATCTTCAACACTCGCTGATATGATAGCTGACACGATACAACCGGTTTGAATCGATTTGTATTTTTAACGAGGACAAAGAAAGAAAACGTCACTAGTGCCATCCCACGAAAACCAACCTAATTCAATTTAATTTGTTTTTCTTGTTAAATTTTCCTCCTCTCCTTCGTTCTGAAATATCTATCGTCGATAGTAACCAGTCCGTTAATAAAATAAAATAATTTAATTGTTTACTACAATTCGCCGAGCGAAGAATAATCTCTGTTTCAAAGCACATAGAAGAGTATAACAATAGGGGTGCAAAGATTTACCTGAGTGTAGATGCAATCGATACTGCGATTTCCCTCGATTGGCCAGCCGTCTTCGACGATGTCCACTAAACCGCTAACGGTGTCCAGTGACTGTACGCTGCGATAACGTCTCGGCGATTCGGGCCAGTCGAGGATGTTCAATCGATCAGGATCGGCCCGATTGCCTCGAGTATAGTGAAGAGGATCCGGAAACGATGGCAGCCCCGAAGGAATCGAATGAAGACCGCAGGCAGATCTCGAATGATACGGTCTCGCCTCGTTGAATCGCTCGTACGAGTCCGAAAGATGCTGTTGGCTCTTGCAGAGCCTGAAAATGCATCGAATTATTTGCAATTATTCGTGCAATTATTTGAAATTTCATTGGCAACGAGAGATTGCCATAATTATATATCGGGTATATAGGGTGTTTCCTAACTTGTGGGACCCACTTTCGCGAGCTGATTGTACGCCTAAAAATAATGGAAAAAAGTCATATAAATATATGTATAAATATCTGTCTTCGTTTATGAGATATAATGAATTTTCTGTTTTAATTAGTTTTACAAAAGATGCTCGAAATGACCAGCTTGCATTTGAAGACAAGCCTGCACGCGTCTTGTCATTCATCTGGTTACTCTCTCTATCATGCCTGGTGTTTCTCGAATTTGTCGGAAGCCTTGCTCTATTCTATTTCGTAGTATTTCAGCATTTTCAATCGATGTTGCGTGTACAATAGATTTNGGTCATGCAATAGGACCTCCACGACCAATCCATTTATTTGCAAAGTGTTGATTTAAAAATTGCCCAGCCACTCGGCTAAAATGTGGCGGAGCTCCATAAACTGCATACGAATAATTTAATATTGACTGAAACTTCCTTTAATATTTCGTGTAAACGCGTGTTCAAAAAATCAACGTACTTTGTGCCTGTTAGTTTTCCATCAAGAAAAAAAGATCCAATTAAAAATTTATCAATTATTCCTGCCCATACGTTTAAACTGGTGTTGATGTCTTGAATGTACAATAACATGTGGGTTTTCTTCATCCCAATTATAATTATTATGAGAATTGAATATACCATCCCTGGTTAAACAAGCTTCATCACTATTGCGGTCTATGAAAAGAGAGGCCAGACAGAGAGTTTGCTCTGTATATAGAATTCATTATATCTCATAAACGAAGACAGATTGGACATATATTTATATGACTTTTTTTCATTATTTTTAGGCGTACAATCAGCTTCCGAAGTGAGTCCCACAAGTTACAAAACACCCTGTATATTTGGTAAAAAGATTAACGCGCAACAATGGAACATTGAAACTTATTGGTCGAATTGGTCAAAGTTTTTGAGACAAGATTAGTTGATTTAATTTATTTTAGAATTCGTCTCGAGCTTCGTCAGGAGATCACGGTGAGATCAAATTTACTTTCTTACGGAATCTTCTCGAATCGTTTCTTCGTTTCACGTATCCGAAGGTAGTTCGAAGTTTATTATTTATTTAAACGACGAGACTTCGAAAGGATTCGATGCACGACGATGTTTCTCATGGTTGCATAATTAACGCGGCATTAACGTGTCAGACGTTTTTCCAGCGTAAGAAACTGGGAGCAAGAAAAGCCTCTCGAGCAACGTGTACGATCGATAGAAAATGAATTTCCATTTCGCTCCGCGTGTGCTCGAAACGCGCTGGCAAATTGCAGGCTAATTAATTTATTCCACCAGTCCGGAGCTTTTGCTTCGGCTTGATCGATTTGATGAACAGTATTCGATATTGTTCGACGACAAATGAATTGTATTCGCTTATTGACGTACGCGTCGCATATATCCAATTATCATACTTAGTATCGTCACACGTTGCGCTGTTTTCCAAAAAAAAAAACAAAAAAATTCGAATTTTCTCTGTGAAACATTAGCCGATTTATTCTTCCTCGAAATTTTATTCGGTATATAAAATACTTGAATAGATCTGTGCGTTCAGATAGAATTTTTCTTTAATAATTGCAAATAATTTGCTCAAGTCAAGATTGGCAATTCGTCTGCTAAAATATCATGGAAATGACATTAAATTTAGATATCATTCTTCCTTTCTGTATAACAGATTTTTTTTAATCGTTTAAAGAATATATGTATATCGTTCTTTAGAATGAATACACTCAGCTGAAATAAATCCACATTTCAGAATGAGAGACGTTCACGTTTTAATGTTAACGGATATAGCGGTTGAACGATGAAAATAAACTTTTCCTATCGATACGATATCCGATAACAAGCGTCTCCTTTAATTTCACTTCACAAGTTATGATATTTGTGCTGTGTTTCGATTAAGCGCAGGGACCGTGGCTCTTTGGACTCGGAGGATCATCGAACGAGTATTATTCTGCATGAGAACACACGAACAGACGAAGAAGAGTCCAACGATCGTGCGGAAACATACGAGCAGAATTACGCGCAATTAAAAAGCTCGAACGGACTCGTTATGCTGAACGCATTCTATGATAATTAATGAATAATCTGCCTCTCTTAATGAAAGATATCTTGTTGCTGCCTTCTGAAACGCGAATCTTCCGATCCAAACACGCTGCTCTCTTGCATCCATACGTGAATTATATTCCTTTCGAAAAACTCCGGCAGAAACAAATTATCCATCTTAATTGCTCGAATTTCACTGGAACGTAAGTTTATTGCGCTTAAGTTTCCGCGTGCCTCGTTGTTCCTTAGGAAAATAAATTAAATTCACATTATATCTCGGTAGTTATATAGTTATCGTGGCGTTTCATCTTGTTTCAACCAGTAAATTAAAAAAATCCAGATTAACCTGCCCAGAAATCAAGATCGATTTCAAAGATGAAGATCTCTCGCGGACAAACGATCTTCCTCGGGATTTAGAAACGATATCTCTAAAATAAATTCACGCGCCTTTGGTCAGAAACGTTCGAGAGAGGATCGAGATTCGTTTCTTAAAATTACGATTACAAGTCTGCGTGGTGGCGTGAACGATCCAAGGCTCTCCGCGAGATACGATCAAGCGAGGGCACAACGTGTAATTACAAGTATTTTTATTCGATAAGCAAGGGTTCTTGAGCGATCGCGTCGCCCCTGGCGATAACCAATAATTCGTTTTCTATCTGTCTTTTTAACTTACCTATCCTTCAGAGAGTTGCGATCGATGAGCTTGGCTCGCGGGATCAGTTGATGCCTCCTGGGCAAATCGAAGGTCGATTGCCCGAGCCTAAAGTGACGCGCCTCTCGATCGTGTCGAGATTCGTCCTCGGATATCACGGCGAGGCTCCTCGTACGTTTTAACAGCTTCCTGCGATCCTGCGTGGACTGCGCCGAATTCGCCTCGTGTCGTCCCCCTTCTCTGCAATTCAACAGAATTAGATCAACCCTCTTTACCTGTCGTGCTTCGAGCAACAATACTCGACGACTTCTAAAAGTCTCTTGCAACCTGTTACGTCGATAATTGGCGCGGTTTCAACAACCCCTTTCGTTCCTACAAATTTCGCAGGAATCACTTTCGTGCGTTCAAAGTTTCTTTCGTTTGAGATTGTATTACACGCTAGTGCGACGATTTTAAGTTTTCTTTTTTTTTTTTTTTAATTAAAATTTTTCTCATTTCAAGTCTTTTTCTTAATTTTAAGGTTAATCGTTTAAGTAGCGAGAGNATTTTATTTAATATTCTGTGATTGCTTGGCAATTTTGGAATAATGCTTTTCATCCTTTTTTAATTTGATACTAATTAAATATCTTCCATCTTGTTGCTTGTATTAAAAAACATATTCCTTTGAACTTTTGCTCGCGATGCATCGTATCAAAAATTTAATTGAAATTAGAATTCATTAAAAATTCAACGTTGGCTGCGTCTCTTGCGTTTCCCTGCTGCAAAAATAAGAACGCGAATAACAAATAGACGTAACACATGCCATCCAAAGACTTCAAGGACTCCGGAAAAGCTGTTAATGCTACTAGTTTCCTGCTTTCTACTTTACTACGAATAATCGTTCGTTCTCAGAGAGCCTTGAATCCCTGCATGGAATCACAATGAGACCAGAATGCATCATGTGCTCTCAGAGTATTATTACGGGAAGTAGGAAACGTTATTATCATTGTGCATTGTGATATCTCCCTATGCTGCCAGTCGACATGCCAATGCCGTATTTCAATAATAAACGATCGTCGTAATCACGTTGTTAACACAAACGTAACACGAATGTTTAGTACAAGACCCCAGGATACAGTTCTCGTGATTCGCAAAGAATCAAGAGCATGAATAGAGAGTATATATATATATATAATTCTTTAAATAATAATATATAAATTCTTTTAATAATATATAAAATTCTTTAATAAAAGTAAAATATTTTTTTGATAAGTGTCCAAATGTTTTCACGAGCTAATGCTTATATATATATATATATATATATAATTCTTTAAATAATATATAAAATTCTTTAATAAAAATAAAATATTTTTTTGTGGCAAGCTAATGCTCATCAGTGACATGCATATATATATATTATATATTATATATATAATATATATATATAAGAATTTTTATTAAAAAAAATTTAGTAGATCTACAACAGTGCATTTTTGAAAATTATGTCCTTCACTGTGTCAGAAACTTTGCCACGTTCATTGCACTTTCATTTCTGTGATACAGATTTTATACTTTAGTCCTTTAAGACGGAAATTCTAATGTATTCGAGACGCGTAAATTATAAATATTTTTCTGTTTTGTAGAAATTACGTTCAATTAAATAACGTAAGAACGACGATATTAATCGGCAAAGCGGGAAATCTCCCGTGAATCAACGAACGACTATGAATATCGGGATACGCGTTAATGAAATTTCTTTGAGCTAATTTACGTTTAACGCATCCTGTTTCCACGAATGTCGTGCATTCAAGCTCGATTAGCGATGAATCGGACTAGTTGCACAAGTTTACGTCGAGACGACAGTGTTTTGATGTTTCCTTTCAACCGTTGGTAATTGATGCGTTGTTGTACTTTTACCGGGTAATAATGCAGCGAAAACATGGACGCATTCCGACACGAGGGCTATAATCAATGAAGCGGTCACGCAACGTTCCCTTATTTGAAAACCGAACGTAACCACGCCTTTATAGGTCTACTTGCTCGGCCAGCGTTGATACAAATTAAGAGGCACTTTTGTTCTATTTCGAGAGACCGTAACAAGCTATGCTCCCACATCACCCTAATGAAAACTAATTACTAGCTGTAAATTTAATAGAATGGAATTATTGAACTTTGTTTGTTTGAGTGTAGTATCAGAATTTTTTAATTCACATAAATCTGGAGTTCAAGTTAATATTTCCACATCCGTAATGAAACTGTGAATTTAACACAGAATTATTGAACTTTGTGTCTCGTTGTGAATGTAATATACATGAACGATTAGAAGCAAAATTTCTTTTCATAAAGCTAATAATTCTCACAAAGCTGAAGTTCTAGTTAATGTTGTGAAAATTGCACTGGATCGTGCGCATTTAATTAGTCTAATTAAACCTGTAAACACAGTTAAACGAATTTTGCTTGCATAAATTTAATTAATCATTCATATTTCCATACCAACGGAAGTATGTAATTTTACCAATAATATTCCCAAGAACTGAAAAACAAAATATGCGAAGCCTCTATTTTTTTTTTTTTTTTTACGAAAACAATTTTATCGTTTTATCTCCGTAGAGAAAAAAAATTGTACATTTATAAATTTCAAATTGGATTTCAGTTTGTTTTGCTATCAACTCTTTTCTGTTAACTGATCAAAAAGCAAACAACTGTACCTGAACGAACCGTTTGATCTTTTTTTGAAAATTAGCACCAAACTAAAGAATTTTAGCGTAAAAGTGTCAGTCGCGCAGACTGTCAACATCTAAGAGAAAAAACATCGATCAGATGATCCGACTGGTTGGGTGGTTGAAATCGCACAAGTGTAACAATTATTTGCTTCGAGACAATCCTCGACGAAACAGTAGCTTACCCAGTAATTAGAGCAGTAAACCGCGTGACACTGAAAAGACTATCGCAACATTTGTGTCAAGATTGCTCCACGATGAAATGCACAACCTGAGCGTTCACGAGCTGCATACTAACGAGAAAACCGAGTCGTATGATCATCTCGTGAAACTCGTGCAAATAAAGCGTACGACGTAAACGTTTGCATTATTATTTAAATTACATTTGACTCTGAAAATAGCCGTCGTTTGCATTTTACGAATGTACCGAAGCTTCCTAGTCTTTCGCTTTTTCCTCTTCTTCGTTTTATCTTTTAATTGCTTCTCAGCTCTAAACTGGAAGACGTCTCGCCGCTACAAATCGTTTTCGTCGTTTTCATGTATAAAATTCAGTTCGCGAAAATGCTGCCCATTGAAAGCTAATTTGCCTCTCTTTCTCCGTGAAATTACCTAGGAGCTTAACCTATCGCATACTTTCTCTTTCCGTCGATTTGATTTTAATGCAATCAGATAGTGCCCAATCCTGAAACTCTGGCCGCGTCGTTCAGAAAAGTAACCTCGATGGAAAATTCGGTTAAATGTAGTTAATCTCGCGACGGGAAGTTGCAGCTTCGTTGGAAAATGGGAAATTTTCTCGAAAATGCCGCGCAACGTGTTTTGAAAACGTTTAATCGTTCTCGATAATTTAATTCGTCACTGGAAATCTTTTCATTTCTGAATCGGCCGAAAATGGAGCACGAAGTGGATGACGAAAAAGAGAATTGCAGCCGATTTTTTTCCCCGTGGCTAACAAATGGCTCAAGATCGTCGGTTTTTCCGCTCGAACAGCCAGAAACTGCAAGTAAAGGCGGCCTTTCGACCGCGTCTGTCTTTGCTTGAACTCGAATCCTTGAAGCCAGGATGCAGATGGCGTATCGTCGTCTTATTGTGTTCGACTGAGCACAGCGGATCGTTACGTAACATTTTTGCCGGGTTATCTCGGCCACTTTTACGAGCCGGTTTCCAAGCTACGTGAACTAACTCGAGGCACTTCTCAACAGAGAAGAAACTTTAAACGAGAAGATCGACGAAGATCCTTCGAAAATTTCACAATTTTTTTTGTTTTTTGCTTTAAATAACGCGCCTCTTCAAAGGTTGCACGTACTTTGGGATATTTATAAAGTCACACGCCAGCAGCTGTGTCGGTGTCTTTACGCAGGCTGTCTTTAAGCATTTCATTCATCGTACGACGAAGAAACTTTTGCAGAAATTTTTATTATAAATTGATCTATATCAAGGTTTCTAATCAAATTTTGATATTTGATGCGTAGATTACGTGTTTCTGGTTGCGTGACTATCGCCTCGATCTTGACACGTTAAACTTTGAATTAATCTGTTTCTTTATCGACCTACATCTACCCTCCATTAAGCCCCACGTCAAAAAGTTAACGTCGTCCCCGTTACTTTGGAGTCAAGAGTACTTTTGGAGCATAAAACTTTTGAAAACTGTTATCTGTTTTATGATTCGTCGAACAGGAGCGTATTTTTCTACCATTACAGTTTTATAACGAATTATTTAAACTTCTGCTGAAGTCCATTATAAAAAACAATCAATTGCAATGAAATGTTCTTTCGGCGTTATGTCAAAAAAAAAAAAAAAAAAAAAGAAAATGCATTTTCACGAAAAATCTTTTCTCTCGGATTTTTTCCGTCGAACGCAGCATAACGAAAGAGAGAGAGATGATTGTACTATTTTCTATTTTTTCATGCGATAGCAAAAACCTACGCAATTCCGAATTATTCAGTGATTTTTCGATCGGAAGCAAACGCGATTACTCTGGTCCATGGTAGCATTTGCTCGGAAAGCCTGTACCGAAAGATCAATCTCTAGAGTTGTAAAATAGTTTTAACGAGCTTATCGACGCTTTCACGACACATTTTAGCACAATTTTCGCGACGCAGGCTAGAAAGATTGTCGCACGCGAACCGTGGAGAGAAAAAAAGAAAAAACGAAACGAACCTTGCGAGCCCCTCTTTTCGAATCCTTTAATTATCCACGCACCGATCGCCGCGACCCATTTCTTTTTATAAAATTCATTCCACCAGTTCTTTCACCGCGAATGAACCTACGAGTGTCTCCGCGTTGGATAACCTCTTGATTATCATTTTGCCGAATTACCATAAAGCATACTTGAAACTTCAAATTGTGATTTGCAAAATTTTGAAAGTTCATCTTTTAAAATTGTGAGAAAAAATATTGTTCGTAATATTCACTCACGAATGTAGGAAGAGAGTTATAGTGAAAATAATAGCACGTATATAATAAAATTATAGCACAGATATTAAATTTTAAATTTAATTTAAATATCATTTAAATTTGAATATTAATTTTAAAGCGCGTTC